ACATCATTGCAAACTCTCATGATATTTTTGAGTGTAGTGACGTTGGGTTGTTTATCTGTCTCATGAAAACGTAATGAAAGGCTGCCAAGTTGTGGATTTTCCTTTATTCAAAATGGCTGCAATCTCCCATTACTCTCAATGAAGCTGAAGCCAGCAAGATGACTGCTATTTCCTTACAATCTATCCGCATGTGGACGTGAGGCTACCCCTAATAAAGATGGCTGCCACTGACTACTCTTTTCAATGAGACAGAAACCATGCCCACAGGCAAAATGGCTGCCACTCTATTTTTGTCGGGGCTAGACACTGTTAGGACAAGAAGCAGGCTGGGCACTGTAAAATGTGAATGGGGAGACTGAGTGGGGAGCTGGAGGCAGCAGCAGAATTTGAGGGGCAGGAGGCCAATGGGGATTGTAGTGAGGCGGAGTGGCCTCCCACTGAGCCAGAGGGGGAGGGACAACTCTGAATCATGATGGGCGGAGCTAGGCCATACCTGCCCCTCCCCACGGAAGTCAGAGAGCAGAAAAGGAAGTATTAAAGGTGGGGCCTGGAGCTCAGTCGGGCTGCATCCACCAAAGGAGACAGACGCCTCCCAGCTGCTCCCAATCTGGGAGACTACTGCAGACCCCTGCGGAGCTGAGGACTGGCCAGCGCTACCAGAGCCAGCCAATGACCAAGCCACAGAGGAGTTGCCGGGTCTGCCATGGGCTTTCTACCCTGATGACCCAGAGGACCCACTACGGATCAAGGTACATCCCGAGTGGGAGATAGGAAGTGGCGCAGGGGCAGCTGACCCTAGTCTGGCTGCAGCACTGCCTGAGATAAGGTCAGCATGTTGAGGTCAGGATCCTGCCACTGTTAGGGCCCTGGGCCGGGATGCAGTGGAGTTGGGTAGGCCTGCGTCACCCCTACCCCTGCCACCGCATCCCTGATGGTGCGATTTTGTATGCTACTGTTTCCCCAGGTAGACACTAAAACTCCCAAAGTCTTTTATCTAATTAGTAAGAAATTATTTTGGGTTAAAGTGTGTTATTCCAAAACTATGTACTTGACTTAATCACATCTGCCCCTGTGTAAGTGTGTCAGAAAGATGCGGACATATTAATGTGGGATGAGAAATAAGCTAAGTAAATAGTCTAATATAAGCAGTATGTTCAGAGAAACTTAAGGTGGACACCAAAATAGGATGCTATAAAGATAATTTTAAGAGCTGGACTTCCTTAAAACAAAGGCAAGGGACAGCTTGTGTCTATAGCAGATTCTTATTTTTCCTTAACTTTCCTGTAAAGTATTAAAATAATTCTTGTGTTCATCTTATACATTGATTTAATTATTGAGTGTACTAATTGACAAGCCAGATGAATTGAACCATTCATTTATTGATTGAATTTCAGTTGTAACCTTAATTTGATCATTTGATTAGGTCAGAGAAAGTAGAAGTAAATTAGTTAGTGACATATTTGTTGGCTTATTCTTTTAATAAATCCATAAATCCTGGTAGGATCCTTCCATATTCAAAGCAGCAACAGAGTAGTGGAGAATCAGGCCCAAGGAATGCCTTAATGTAATGATGTGGATAATTATAGATCTCACCAACAATCATCATCTCTCTTTGAGCTGATCTACACTCACTTTTTATACAAGTTTGCAACAATGTTTAACTATACCAGTTTAGAAACCCATATAGCTAAATTGGTGCAACCCCCATACAGTAATACCTGTATAAAGGTGATTTTACTAGTAGCTTATTTCCATAAATCTATGGAATTATATTTAATCAGTCCAAAAACTGTGTAGAATAGACAAGCCCATTTTTAAATATCAAATTGACATTTGAACTCAAATGCAATTCCATTCATTGTTCACCTACTTTTGAATTTAAGCAAATCATTAGAAATTGTGATAATATAGAGCTCTCTCTGTGTGTAGGTGTAGCTTAGTCACACTAGCGTTATTCCATTTGACTTAGACTGTGTAAGTGAGATCAGAACCATGCCCCATTCTGTGTAAATAATGGCACAATTTGCTGTTTGTTAAATACAATTTTATGAACCACAAATTATGATGTTTTGTAACATTTTAAAATAATCTGCTCATCCATTTTTGTAAATTCATCTGTGTTAGGTACTTATAAAGCTATAAAACCACTGATAGCTAGGTGTAAATGGGGACACTCCATCACCATCTTCTGATGTCCCAGAAACCTCTCAGTCTCTCCAGTAAGTGGCAACTTCATGTGAATTTATTTATCTACCCATCACCAGCACCAACACAATCTTGTGCAACAAAGTATTTATAGTGCTTTTTGTCCTTTAGCCCTTTTGAACAGGGCAGGGGGGAAGAGAAGTCTCCCTGCCTTGAGATCTCACAGCATACTGGACTCAGCTAGCCCAGATTCTCCTTTTTATACCCTTCAGATAATTGATTCATCAGCTCTCCCAACCAGATCAGCTAATTAACTGTATATCCCCAATCAGCCTTCTCCAGTGGAGCTGATTGGTGCCTAAGTGATCAGAGTGCTGGCTCATCTGTTAGCTCCCAGCACTCTGTCACACTGGGCTCAAAGATGTTAATAAAGATCTAAGAGCCTAGTTTTATCATTTGTCCCACCAGTTTAACTGAGTACAGAATTGAGCTCTTATGGCTATATTAAGTCATTACCAGGCTGTGCTGAACTACAGGAGAGTCAGGGGGAACATAAGAATGGCCATACTGGATCAGACCAATGGTCCATCTAGCCCAGTATCCTGTCTTATGACAGTGGCCAATGCCAGGTGCTTCAGAGGGAATGAACAGAACAGGTAATCATCAAGTGATCCACTCCTGTCATCCAGGCACAACATCTGGCAGTCAGAGGCTTAGGGATGCCCAGAGCATGGAGTTGAATCCCTGACCATCTTAACTAATAGCCATTGATGTACCTATCCTTCATTAACTTATCCAATTATTTTTTGAAGGCAGTTATAGTTTTGCACTTCACAATATCCCCTGACAACGAGTTCCATAGGTTGACTGTCTATTGTGTGATGAAGTACTTCCTTTTGTTTGTTTTAAACCTGCTGCCTATTAATTGCATTGGGTGACCCCTGGTTCCTGTTCAGAGCACTTTTCCTGTGGGAGGCTTGGTAGGCATTGGCCTAGATTTTGAGCTACATCCAAAGGGTGCTCAGCACAGCTCAAGGTGGTAGGATAAAGTTGGCTGTAGGTCACCCTTGTATCCCCTGGAGTCTGTGGGTAAGTTACAGCAGTCTGAAGGCTCTTTTAATGTATGCTTGGCTGCCTCTGGCTCCAAAAAGCCATTCCATCAGCTGGGAATGGCTGGAGTGCAGAGGCACTCAGGCAATTCCCCTATGCCAGGGACAAGGACAGCCACTATATCTGCTCTGCGCTTCCAGGGGAGTCCCCTTATGTAGAGTTTAAGCAGGCTTTCCAGAGCACTCACAGCAGTCAAATCAGGTGGCCAGATGTGGGCCAGCTATGCCTACAGAACCCAGATCAGACATAAAGAATATCTTCATATCGAAGATACACCTGTGTAAATCCAGAGTAACACTGTTAAACAGAGGTCAGCATCTGGTCCAGCACTTCCAGCATAGCTAGGTGAAAAGAACAGGATTTGTCCCTTTGGAATTTTGTATCAAATCCTGTGAAACTTTGTGTAGTTTCAACACAAAACTAGATTCTCCTGTAATGTGGTGTAGGTTTTATAGCATGCACAAATTCCTCAACCTTGCTTCTACATATATATATATGAGCAAGGTTATCATTTAAAAATTCTCTTTGATATTTTTGTTCATAATCTAGATAGTTAAAGAAAACCAACAGACTTTGTTTTATTCTGTGTAGGTTGATTTGCAGCACTCATCACCATAGCATGTGAGTGCCTTCCAGTAAGGCATTTAGCAACATGACTACACATCTGTCACTTGTTGTTTGTTCTCTCTTCTTCTTCCCACTGCATATGCAGTGGAATGTCTTGTCTTGGTAGGTTGGTTTGGTTTGTTGGTTTGTTTTTTAAATATTCATATTGCTATGTATTTACGTTCAAGAAGGCAAGGTCAAAGAAATATGCCTTGCACTTGAAGACTTCCTGTCTCTACACTTGAAATATGCACCCAGGACTGATCAAAAATCTTTTTCCTCTCTGAGCCCATGTGTGCTTGATATCGTCATGGTAAAACTTTAATGTAGTGGTATTTATATGCATACACATCTTACTACATAGGAAGTTCAGAGGAAGAAAACTAGTACATGCCTTGGTTCTTACAGTATACTGCTTGTTACTGTTGCTGACTAAATTGTAAAAGTTTTCAGGGTTCATTTTTTTAAAACTTTCACACATTTATCTGTTTCCGAATACATAAATGGTATGAAAATTTTAGGACTTATATGGTTGTGGTTTCAAGCTGTTTGGTTGATTTCATGAGAATAAATTATTTCATTGCTTTCTTAACTGGTGAGAAAACTTCTTCCCCCTCAGGGAAACTTGGTTTAAGTTATTCATAAACAAAACATTTTGAAGAAGGTGTTCTTTTTAATCCATGGATCACTTACTTCTGGAATATATTTATGTAAACGTTCATATGGATAATTTCTGTGCAGCAAAGTAAATTAAATTGACAGTTTCCTCCTTTTCCTTAAAATCCCCACTCAGGTCATTGGAAATGCAAATATTATAGTATATGCCCTATTCTGAAGAAAATACAATTTCTTAACCCTAAAGCACACTATGTATTTTAAAGAGACTTCATTACAATAACCTCATCATCTGAGGATTATTTTATAAATGCAGATTTTTTTAACATTATATCTCTGTTGTGAAATCACTTTTAGTTGACATTTAACTAAGTTTTCAGTTTCCTTTCTCTTAGAGTTACTGAGCTGCTATTATGGTTTATATCTGTGACCTCATTTTCCTACAGATAGTGTGGTTTTGATGACACGAGGAAGTATTTTTTTTAAACCAGATACTAAATACTACTTTTTATTCTTCTCTACAGAGAGCAGGGGAGACAATCGGTGGAGATTCTGAAAGGTAATTTCTTTTTTGGCATCTTGCATTTCAATGTACAAAACTGTTGCAGTTCATATTCATTATATTTTAAGAAATTAGTTGTGCTTTTCACTTTTGTAGGGGTATATTTTGTTTTGTTTTTCTGAGAGACTGAAGTAATTTCCAGATTTTAGTGAGAAAAACATTATTTCTGTGAATATATTTAATGGCTTCCGCTGCAGATTGCTTCAAGTATGAACATGGTTTTTAGACTTAAAAGGTTTCTTGAACTTTTTTTTTAATTAAAATAGTTTCAGATATAAATTAAAATAAATTAAAGCAGTAATACAAAGTTGGGAGAGAAAACGTCTTCCCCTTTCCTTTTCTCATTTCTTATTTATAAGAATTAACGTTTCAAAAGCACTTTGAAGATGAAAAGTGTCACATGAATGTTTAGTAGTAGTATTTTTGGAAATCAACAATGAAATAGTCCTTTTTGTGAATATTTTTGTTCCATCAACACAAATATGTGAACTAATGTTTATCTTTCTTAGTATCTACCAGGGATAAGCAATTATTGTTCAATTTTGTTCTTTAGTGTTTGTATTTGGTCAAATAGAATACAGAGAAACACAAATAATAGTGACAATATCTTTGATTCATTTACAATTAGACTGATTACGCACAAAATATATAACCGATTACATCCAATAAACTACATTAAAAGAACATTGTTTGCAAAGTCAAATACTTGAACATTAGGAAATGCCAGAATGAAGGTTGTCCATAAGACATTAGTTGAGGTCCCCTTCTGCATATGCATTATGATACAGTCTTTAATTATGTGATCATAGTTTTTTTTTACCATGAGCCCTGTCTCATTTAGTGCACAGAATGGACAGTGCTCTGGAATGAAGCAGGATTATGTAGTGAATGAGATTCTTGTCTGTCCCATTTGTTGCAGAAGTTGGAAGACAATGAGGCAGGGGATTGCACGAGAGAAGGGACAGTCTCCTAATTAAGGAGGCTGAATGCCAGTTTAGAGAGCTGGAGTCTATCCTTGCCACAGAGTTCCTATTTGATGCTAGACATAACCACTTATGCCAAACATTTACACCACACTTGGTAACAGATTGTGTGTTCTTCCTTTTATGAGTGCGTAATGCGAGACTGCTGAGGCCAGGCTTGCAGAAGTGCTAAGTGCTCATAAAGGTTGCACAGGCAACCTTTATAGTGGCATTTCCTAACTTTTTGGTGCTTGACCTTGCAACCTTAACATTCTTTTAACATAGTTTTTTTTGTAATGTGATTTTTTAAAAACAAAAATAAAACCTCTTTCACATGGAACCATATTGACCCCCAACTTGAGTCATTTTATAATGGAAAGTGTCAGGCACCTTAACTCCCAGCAGCACTACCAGCTCCTCCAATAATTATTACAAATGACAAACCCATCCCCAAATATATTCAAAACTACCTGCCCAGATGCTATACAAACTATGGGTCAGATCTTTCAAAGACAACTGTGTGATGAGACCCATGCTCCTTGGGAAAGCACCATTGACTTCACTTGGGCTCTGCGCAGTCATAGACATCTGCCCATGCAGATCTTTGACCTTTATAACAAATTTTTTATAATATATAACAGAATAGATACATATATAAAAAAACACACACACAAATATGTTGAAAAACACTCCTGTTATGTGCAAAATATGAGACCCATTACACTATAGTGCACTGTATATCCATTAAAGAAAACAACTTCAAGTAAGTAGGCTCTCAAGTGAGCCTAAGTTGTTTATTTCCCTTGACAAGAAGGGCCTGGGAAAGTGCTCAGACTATTTTGTTGCAATTTCTTGTAGCTTTGGAACCTATGTGTCAATGTGTGGATATCTATATATTAGCTGTTTTGTGGAAGCCAGAGGCTCAAGGGAGAAGGTTGCTGTTCCTTGTGGTTGATCCTGGGTTGCTCTTTTTTTCTAGCTGTGATTGTTGACAGAAAGAGGTTGCCAAGCAGTCTGATGCAGACATGAGGCCACAAAATAATCTCCCTGGGAAAAATCTGTGGGAGGGTAAAAAGCCAGTAGAAAACACTGAATGTAACTCACAGTTCCTGTCTACTTCTTTTTTCAAAAGGGAGAAATGTGCATGTCCATTGAGAGGATAGGGAATGGAATCCTCAGTTTCTGTGGATCCTAGTGATCTGCGAGCAATGTGACCACAGAGCCAAGCCATCACTACAAAGAGTATAGGCAAAGAGCCCTTCAGAGCTATTCTGCTTGTCTCCCCTGTTAGGGTTCTAGAAGGCACAGAGGAACAGTTATTTCTACTTAGAGAAATAAAAACTATTGAACATGTCTCACTAGGAATTCCTTCTTGTCTCCATTCCCTCTTACTCCTAGCTCTACCATTTCACCTAGCTCCACATTCCACCTATTGAGAGGCTTTCCTGCCACGTTTTACTGCTCTGTGCAGAAAATAGTGGAAAGTTACATATGGTCAGGTTTTTTTATGTCTGGATCGTCGAGACTATGATTCTCCCCCCGCCCCCTTTCTTCCCCATCATCATTCTCCTCTGTTTCTTCATGCTGCTAAACACCCAGGTAGAAAAGCAGAAGAAAATGCTCCTTTATTTGTTGCCCAAGTATTCAAACCAAAAGGAAAGAAAATTATATTGTCCATCAAATTGCATGGGGATGTTACAGCTCAATATAGCTGCAAGTAACAAAAGTGCAGTGGAATCCTCATTTTCCAATTTCAGTCACAGTATTAGATGCCACAGTCTCCACAAAGCTCTCATGAACTGTCATTCCATACACAAGGAATCTTGTTTGTTGGGGAAGGGAATGCTCAGTTCTGTGGGGAAATTATTGCCAGCACAAAGTTCCATAGCAACTGTTCTTAGTGTTTTTATTCAGTGAATATCAGTAACTACTCACTGGTGTTTATCTAAAAATGGTATTAATCATATCCTCAGTAAATACTGCATGCTTAAAAAAATAAGTTATTTCAATCATTGTAATTAATGTTCAGGAGAAAAACAAGGAGAAATATTTTGTAGACTTTTTTTACATGTGCAGTATTTTCTTATATTTGCATTTAAAAAATTAGATACTTCTGCTATTTTATAAAAACAACAAGGAGTCTGGTGGCACCTTAAAGACTAACAGATTTATTTGGGTATAAGCTTTCATGGGTAAAAACCTCACTTCTTCAGATGAGCAAGAAGTAAAATTTCATATACTGTACAAGTATCAGAGGGGTAGCCGTGTTAGCCTGAATCTGTAAAAAGCAACAGAGGGTCCTGTGGCACCTTTGAGACTAACAGAAGTATTGGGAGCAAAAGCTTTCGTGGGTAAGAACCTCACTTCTTCAGATGCAAGACCAGAAGAACTTCTTCCCAGAAGAAGTCTCCAGATACGGCCTCATCAGTGCCTAACAGAGGGGAATAATCACTTCCCTCGATATGCTGGCAATGCTCCTACTAATGCATCCCAATATGCCATTAGCCTTCTTGGCAACAAGGAGACAC